TGTAGGTAGAACTGTATGCATCTAAGGTTAATTTAAATTGGCTATGCTCAAGTATGTAAACAAGCTAATGTCGAAGTAGTGTATGTGAAATCAACCTCACAATAAGATGTGTGTATATTACAATTATTAATGTCATATTTCAAGATGATTACTTAGATATTACAATATGGTTGGTTGAGCTGGAGCATTATTGAGCTTACACGTTAACGTCACAGTCATCTGAAGAACGAACCCAAACCTTGTTGTTTTTATTAATTGCATTACCAAATGGGTATCAAATAAACAGTAAGCATTGGTAACACAACTTCCAAAGTTACAGTAAAATAAAAAGGACCCTGACTCGGACAATACACAATCCAACATGTTCAACAGAAGAGAATCAGTTATATTGTTTGTACACATGGTACTTTACATATATATCTGTTTGTTTAAGGTGTCCAGGTGATGCAGACAGGCTGGACCAGAGAGTGAGAGACAGAACTGGACTCCTCACAGCAGTGAACTTCAGCACAGGTACAAAGACTCTTTTTTCATACTGTACAAAGAATCAAGAAATATATTGGTTTAAATGAATGAAGTATTGACTTGAATACACTGATATACATTCCATTAAACAATACTAAATACTAGATCACCGACACATCAGTTAAGTTGAGGGTTTTTTCCATGCAAAAAGTTACATTTAGATATTTAGCAATATGACTTTGTCAGCTTTCTAATTTAATGTATTGAAGGCAAAGATATTTAACACATAGTGAGAACTGCTACTATTTATCTCTCAATATTGTCTGTAAAAAACGTGGTAAAAGTGATTCTTTCAGTGAGACAACAGAGCAAGCTTCTACAGTTGCACTACGTTTTGATAACAGTTAAATATTATTTTGATAATAACATATATTTCAATGTTGATGAACTTCATACTGTTCATTCATAATCTGATTGTCTTTGTAGCTCATTGTTGAAATAAAAAAAAAACATTACAATTACAAAATAATTATATCTACAGCCCCTAAACACACAAACACACCGCTTTCATAAATAACACACTTGTTCTGCAATAATATGTTTTATGTTTCCTGTCATTTTTGTTAGGAAAGGACATGCCTGAAAGACACGACATTTTCTCCTTCTCTGAGGGTCAAGAAGAACATCCAAGAGGAACATTAAAAGCTGATGTTATGAGATTTTAAGACCAGTACAGGACATTCACTAAGAAACTACTTTTATTGTAAAAACAGTCAGCTGATCGAATGCAGCTATTTCCACATCTACACTCCATCAGCTGATTATTTCTATTTGCCTCACTTTATGAGCTTCACAACGTCACAAATAAATGGGGCCAATCTTCAGTCAGATGTTAATGTGTAATCTAACATTTTCAGTAAGAATAATGGACAAAAGGAGTGCAAATACAAATACAATTTATTGAAATGTGAACCAAAAGTTAATCAAATGTTTTAAATAAAAAGCACATATGGACAGAAGGTGTAAACCTATTAAATGTATTAAACACATTTACATTACATTACATTGCATTTAGCTGACGCTTTTATCCAAAGCGACTTACAATAAGTACATTCGACCAGGAAGACACAACCTTGAAGAAAACAGAATCATATAAGTACATCAGGTTTCATAGAGCCAAACATTTCAAGTGCTACTCAACTGGCTTTAGGTAAGCCAGTCCTTTATTAGTATAAAAGTGCTTCGTTAATAGTTCTAACGCTCGAAGTGGAGTCGAAAGAGATACGTTTTCAGTTTGCGCCGGAAGATGTGCAAGCTATCTGCCGTCCTGATGTCAATGGGGAGCTCATTCCACCATCTTGGAGCCAGGACAGCAAACCCACGTGTTTTCGCCGATGGGAACTTGGGTCCCCCTCGCAGCGAGGGCGCAACGAGTCGTTTGGCTGATGCAGAGCGTAGTGCACGCGCTGGGGTGTACGGTTTAACCATGTCCTGGATGTAGGAAGGGCCAGATCCATTCGCAGCATGGTAAGCAAGTACCAGTGTCTTGAAGTGGATTCTAGCAGTTACCGGAAGCCAGTGAAGGGAGCGGAGGAGCGGAGTGGTGTGGGAGAATTTAGGAAGGTTGAAAACCAGACGAGCCGCTGCATTCTGGATGAGCTGCAGAGGTCGGATGGCACATGCAGGTAGACCAGCCAGGAGGGAGTTGCAGTAGTCTAGGCGTGAGATGACGAGAGCCTGGACCAGAACCTGAGTCGCTTTCTGAGTCAGCTGGGGACGTATCTTCCTGATGTTGTAAAGCGTGTATCTGCAGCAACGGGTTGTAGCAGCGATGTTTGCAGTGAAGGACAGGTTGTTATCTAGGGTCACACCCAGATTCCTTGCAGTCTGAGTCGGGGAAACAACTGAGGTGCCGATGTTGATTGTCAGGTCAAGAGTTGGACAATCTTTTCCCGGGAGGAAGAGCAGCTCAGTCCTGTCAAGGTTGAGCTTGAGGTGGTGAGCAGACATCCACTGAGAGATGTCAGCTAGACAAGCAGAGATGCGTGCGACGACCTGGGTCTCTGAGCGGGGAAAGGACAGAATCAATTGGGTGTCGTCAGCGTAGCAGTGGTAAGAAAAACCATGCGGGCTAATGACTGATCCGAGCGAGTTTGTGTACAGGGAGAAGAGAAGGGGACCAAGAACAGAGCCCTGAGGGACCCCCGTAGTTAATTGACAATGGTCGGACTCAGACCCTCTCCAAGTCACCCTGTAGGTACGGTCTTTCAGGTATGAGGTGAGGAGGGAAAGTGCAGAGCCAGAAACTCCAAGTTTTTGGAGAGTGCGAAGGAGGATCTGATGATTCACCGTGTCGAATGCAGCAGACAGGTCCAACAGGATGATGACAGAGGAGAGGGATGCAGTTTTGGCAGTGTGCAGTTCCTCCGTGACAGCAATGAGAGCAGTTTCTGTGGAGTGACCTGCCTTGAAACCAGACTGGTGCGGATCCAGAAGGTTGTTCTGATTGAGATAACAGGAGAGTTGTTTAAAGACAGCGCGTTCAAGTGATTTAGACAGGAACGGGAGGAGAGAGACAGGCCTGTAGTTTATAACATCAGACGGGTTGAGAGTGGGTTTCTTTAGGAGAGGGTTTACTCTTGCCTCCTTGAGACTGTTTGGAAAGTGACCAGAAGTTAGAGAAGTGTTGATGAAATGGGTGAGAAACGGTAGAATATCAGGAGCGATAGTCTGAAGGAGGTTGGAAGGGATAGGGTCCAGAGGACAGGTGGTAGGGCGGACAGAGGTAATGAGGGTAAGAACCTCACTTGGAGAGAGAGGGGAAAAGGAGGTTAGTGTGTTGGTGGAAGGAAGGTCTGGTGACCCAGCGGTGAGTAAAGGTGAGTCAGAAAAAGAAGAGCGAATATCATTAACCTTTTTTTCAAAGTGGGTAACAAAGTCGCTTGACAGAAGTGAGGAGGGGGGGAGGAGCTTTTGGAGGGTCCAAGAGGGTGGAGAAGATGGAAAATAGTTTTTTAGGATTGGAATAGGAAGATTGGATCTTATCTTGAAAGAAAGTGCTTTTTGCCTGAGAGATTGAAGCAGAGAAAGAGGAGAGGAGAGCTTGATAGGTTAGGAGGTCGTCACGGTGTTTGGATTTCCACCATTTCCGCTCTGCTGCCCTAAGGACGGTTCTATTAGCACGCAGTGCATCATTTAGCCAGGGAGCCGGAGGGGACTGACGAGCCTGCCGAGATGTGAGAGGACAGAGAGAGTCCAGAGTGGATGAGAGAGTAGAGAGGAGAGTTTCTGCAGCAGAGTTTGGAGGCAGTAGTTGGAACGAATCAGAGGAAGGGAGGGCTGAGAGCACCGACGAGGTAGAGGGAGAGAGGGAGCGAAGGTTACGGCGGACAAGTGTAGGATGGGAAGAGATTAGTTTGTTATGTTTGGAAAGGGGTAGAGAGAATGAAATGAAGAAGTGATCGGATGTGTGGAGCGGGTTTACAGAGAGGTTAGAAGTAGCGCAGTTCCTTGAGAATATGAGATCAAGGACATTGCCAGCTTTATGAGTCAGTGGGGACGGAGACAGTGAGAAAGCAAAGGCGGTTAACAGAGATATTAGTTCGTCTATCTTCCCCATCTGGAGGTTGAAGTCTCCGAGAAGTACAGCGGGAGGGCCAGTTTCAGGGATGTGTGAGAGGAGATGATCTAATTCCTCCAAGAAGTCCCCCAAGGCGCCTGGTGGACGGTAGAGAACAACAATGGTTAACTGTATAGGATGGGTTACTGTGACGGCATGGAACTCAAAGGTGGAAGGAGTGAAGTTAGGTACCTTGAAGAGGGAAAAGCTCCATTTGGGAGAGAGCAGGAGACCAGTGCCACCTCCTCTGCCAGTGGGTCTGGGTGTATGGGAGAAGGAATATGCAGTGGAGAGAGCTGCTGGGGTGGATGTGTTGGATGGAGTAATCCAGGTCTCAGTGAGAGCAAGGAAATCCAGAGACTGCAGGGAGGCGTAGCCAGAGATGAAGTCAGCCTTAGGAACAGCTGACTGGCAGTTCCACAGGCCACCTGAAACTAGATGTTGGATCTCAGTGGAGCATGTGGGATAGACGAGAGCAGGCCGGTTATATCGATTACGAGATACACGGGGCCAGTGATAATTGCGAGAAGACACATGAACAGGAATGGAGAAAATACACATGATTATAGCATGAGGGGCTAAACAACCAAATAAAATGAAACGAAATAGAAAATAAAAACACCAGCGATACTTAGCTCAATCAAAGTAGGATTTGCCTCCTCTTTGCCTCCCTCGTGACTCCTGTAGGACTCCAATGTCTTTGTCAGTCTTAGAGACTCCCGCAGGACTCCAATGTCTTTGTCAGTCTTAGAGACTCCCGCAGGACTCCAATGTCTTTGTCAGTCTTCGGCTGTCTAACGCTGAAGCTGACGCTCCAGGAAAGTGATACCTAAAAATGGACGCCTGATTGCTCAGTTCTCACAGCTGTAGGGGCACGCCCCTCTAATTAGTTAACTATCTACAGCTGATGGGCGACAATAGACTGGCCCTGCCTATGTTAATAATGCAGGCTTGAGTGCTGAGACCTGTAAAGCAGGTTTCGCCTGAGCAGATCTGAGATTTAAAATCTCTCAAAAGCGATTTAGCCGTTTAAGCTACAGTAACAATTATACAGAGTCGAATAAATGAAACCGAGAAGTCTAATTAAACAAGAATATAACTTACAGTGGTTGCTGCGTCAATAGGTAATGTCGTCACCAGGTCCAGATGCACACTGATTATTCAGTCTTTAACAAATAATAGCCTACTGAATAGGCTACTCTACAGCAGTGAATGAAGGATGAGCCTAAAACATGGTCATGCATCCAAAATGTTTATTTTTAACAAAATAAACACTTTTTAAAAAAAATTATTCAGCCTCATATGTCAGCCTCATATGGCTGTTGCTGCTGCTGGAGGAGGCTGCTGCTGCTGCTGGAGGAGGCTGCTGCTGCTGAAGGAGGGTGCTGCTGCTGAAGGAGGGTGCTGCTGCTGGAGGGTGCTGCTGCTGAAGGAGGCTGGTGCTGGCAACGGCTGCAGGTGATGACTGCTGAAAGAAGAGGAGGCTGGAGGCTGCTGACGGTGGACCGGGAATGGAGATGCCAAGTACATCGATGGCAACAAGTAAGGTGTTTGGCAGTGGCCTAGATGTTATGACCTTCGGTGCAGAGGTCTGTTGGTTCTTCTTTGCCTTCTTACTCTGACTGTTGCTGCCAAGATACCCTTTATGTTTATCCTTCCTCTCAGCCCTGATGCACTTTGATGCAATCCTTAACCTCAGCCTGATGTATGTTGAGAGAATTTTTTCTTCAGGTCATGGCATGAGGGAAGGTTGCTGTCCAGCAACATGGCTTCTTGTTCCAGCTGTGACACTGCATTTGAGGACTCCATGAGGGAATCGCTCGTCCTCACACGGAACAGCTGCTCCACGTTCTGAACAAGGGTGAAAACCTCATCAGATGGACGGTAAAGTGCACCCCTTTTAAATTATTTTAATACCAGCAGACCAGCTCTCTCATTTTCACCATCACTGACATTTTTCACTAGGGCACACTGGCATTTGTCACAAAGTGAGAAGCTGATGACCCTTTTCACGATGTATCCTGCAAGGTGGTATAGCACACAGGACTCGGTTTTAGTGATGTCAGGTGGTGTTGTCAGGTCTACTAGCTGCTCCACTCTCAGAACGTCAGGAGGACTGCAGCTGCTGTTCTGCGTGTCCAGGAAGTCTGCCAAGTGGTCTGATCCATCCTCCACGTAACTCCCAGTATGCACTGGTGATAGGAACTGGCCCACTGTGTTTTCCAGGCAGTCTTGAGTGAAGCGGCTTGTGAGAACAAATTTGTGCCCTTGTCTCAACAGGTCATGCTGGACCTCCAGGATTGTTGTTGTGGCCATCACCAGTCCTGTCTGGACTGATTTCTAGCTGCCCTTGGGACCGATCTTCAGGCCCCGAAACAGATGGATGGAGTCCCGGAGGAAGCTGATGGCCTTATCATACTCCTCCATCTTGAAATGACTTAGGGCAGTAACAGTGTTGCGTGACGACATGAGGTCAAACCAGTGGTCCACCGTCTCCAAAAACCACGCAGTGGTAAGGTAGGACTCTGGTCTGTGCTCCTCTGCCACCATGTACCTCAGGGCAGCACTCGATGACTTGGAGAAGACGTGCATTGCTGAACTGATCTTCATTTTCTCAAAATGACTAGGCTCCAGGACGCCTCTAGACAGCTTAGGTGCCAGTTTTAGGGCCATTCCCTCTTGGTATGACACCAGATCCCTCAGGGGGCCAACAGACACCACACTGGACGGCAGCTTCTCTTTGTCCACCACATCCTGTGGTATGGTGATGACGTGACCATTCACCAAGGCACTCTTTAAATTCTTCACCACGTGTGGAACATCAGGCATGAAGTACAGGTGCTGGTGTGGCTTCACAGGATGTGCTGTCCACGGCTTGTCATAGGTCACCCCAAAGGACTTCCACATAGCCCAATTGGGGCTCCCCATATCAGTAGTGATGTTAACCACATGAAGCCCTATAGATGCCGCTGCTTCAACGATGGTGTGAAAATGTTAACAAGTCATGTCACCTCTGTGAACATTACTTACATGACAGAGTTTTCTGTTGTTGTTGTCCTCTGTCAGACACAGGTTTTGTCTGTTGACCATTGCCATCCATCTCTTCCTTCGCTCTATGTCCTTAGGGAAGCCATACATCCGGAACCCCTTCTCGGATCGATTAGAGCATCCAAATGCTGCACATCCAACCATGGAATGACAACTGATCTATTAAAATGCAATATAAACGAAAGTGCCATAATATTTATTGTGCAAACATTTTAACATGAATATGTCCTATGTCCTCTGTTCAGTCTGCTCCCAACTGTATTCTCTCCCCTTATTCACCACTGTTCCTATTCTTGCTCTGCTTTTTAGGGCCCAGGAAACAGATGAAGAGGATGTCCCTTTCCCAAAGGAACCTTTTTGTTTTTTTCAAAATGGTTAGGCTCCTGGATGCCCTAGAGTTCTGTATTGCTTTTTTGTAAATAGTTGCTTACCCTAACCCTTTTTTGTAAATAGTATTGCTTTTTTGTAAATAGTTGTTTGTAAATATTTGTAAAATGCCCCCCCCCCCCCCCACGATTGTTGTTCGCACAATTATGCTTCTGTTTTTCACTGTTTGGTGTCCATTGTTCAGCCACTGTATTGGTAAGCAACAATTTGTTTTGGCCAAAATGTGTTATTCACACTCCTGACTCCAGTTTGATGTGGTGCATTCTCCTCTGAGTGGTCCTGATTTCAGGCAGAGGTCATGGCTTGGAAGGTTTTATATTCTGTAGTGTCTCAACAGAACCTAATATGAATTGCTGTATTGTCTCGTCGCTGGATCACCTCCCCCTGGCAAAGTGGCCTCGTTATTGTTGACAAACCTGTTTTTGTTGCTGGTTCAACAGGAGCTTCTGTAAATAGTTTTGTAAATAGTTTGAATATTTATCATAGTAATAATTTTTAGTCTCCCACTCTCAATTTAATTTATCGTTTCTTTGCCCCACCATGTTTTGTTGTCCAAGGGCACTAATTTGGTCTGTGTTGAAGATTGTTTTACACTTTAGATTAATCAAAATTGTGTTTTTGGCTTTTTCTGTTGAACCCTAACCCTCTTTGTTCTCCTTCTCATTCATTTTACTTTTGTTTTGTTCTAACACACATCCCACATCACATCACTTTTTCCATACACTGTTCTTAATACTTGTTCACACATGTGTTCATCCCTTTTACTTTGTTCTTCCTGTTGTTCTTGTTCAAACACATATATAAATTGTTCATCCACTGTTGTGGTAAAATGATATTCATAGTCTTAACATGATCATGCTAACATGAACACAAACGTTTCCTTCCAAAAATGTAATCTAAGTAATAGGCTACCAAGCTTTCCGTTGTCACCCTGCCTCTCCAAATGCAAAACTGTCAATAAAAAGTATGCAATAATGCAATTACAGCTGATAAAGTACTTGGGTGTGTGTGTTTTTAAAAATATATATATTTACCATTCAATAACGCAATCGCTGCTGTCTGTCCCATAGAAGAACATGACAGCGCAGCGCAACTATACTACGGACGTGACTGCCCTGGCAGTGACAGCAACATAGCCTGCTTGTGCTACCACACTTTCCCCTCAAAATATCGTTAAATAACGAAACTTATAAATAGTGCCAATCCATACAAAGTGTAACCACATCATGTAAATATGAAAGCAATCTTTAAAAAATAACAGCGTTGGTTTAATCTATGACTATTTTGACCATGTTTGTGCTGTTTTTGCCATAGAGAAGCATTGCAACGGAAGTGCGTTTTGAACTATCCCGGCATACATAAACCACGTGACCGGCTGGCGGTGACATCAAAGAGTGTCGTAACTCTTATCTCTCTAGGGCTCTGATACCAAGCGGCAAACTCTGGGGAACAGCCGGGATGCCAATACGGAAGTGCCACACACTGCAGTTCATACATGGGCTGCTAGGGACTGGCTGCAGAAAGGAGCAATTTCCATAGACCCCATGTTAAAATGCCAAACTTTACAGCAGAAAAAAACATGTTTCTACCCATGGATGCAATAAATATTATTATCGATATAGTTAGATTCCACCTTCATGATTATGAATCTATGAGTGAATTGTTTTCTAACACGACCCTTTTATTTATATTAGGTCTTAAAGTTTTTGCATAAATTAGGGCGTGGTCACTTTGATGGACACGTACATGCCTCACTGTCAGCGAACAGCAACTTGTCCACTCTGCTAGGCTACAACGTTAGTTAGTCATAGTACTGTACTTGACCCTTTAGCTTTAGCCGTGTTTGTGGTGATTGTGCCTTTTAGGGAATATTGTTACAAATACCAGACAATTAAAATGTCGTGCTGTGCGCTTGAATGTACTAACAGAACTTCCAAGAAGTCTAAAATGATAATATTATGTTAACCCCGTTCGCAGGTGTTTGTGCGCTTGGTAGCTTAGCTTGTTACTTATTAGCCAGCTAAGGACGTAACCCTTTATGCATACATATACATTTTAGTTTATGATTCAGCCTTGGGTAAGACTTTTATAGTCTATGGCTATGACGCCCATAATGCTAAACGGGAGCAAATGTTAATAGGGGACCCAATTATCCCAGTGGTGGCCGCCGGAGCTAACGGAGCCGCAGGGGGCTAGCTCCAGCCGGTGTCCCGGAGCTAGCCCACTGCGGCTCCGTTAGGTCCGGGCGGTGGAGTCCGTCGTTATAACTGGAGATCAAGGAATGCAGCGAAACGCAGACTTGGTTCGCCTGCTGTAGTATTAGCTAAATAAATTATGTTGAACAAGGCTTATTAAGCTGAACATCGCCACAATTGTTCTGCTATGTATCGGTACTTATTTTCTTAACGTGTGAACGACAAGCATTAAGAATAACAAAATATAGCTAATTATCTTGCAGATTGTCTCATTTGATTATGAATGTAACGTTTATATAGGGCAGGGGTGCCCAACCAGTCGATCGCGATTGACCGGTCGATCGCGGGGAGATTCCCAGTCGATCGCGAGATGTGTCTAAAAATAGAACAACAATATTCTGTTTTATCGTTAATGTCCTCTAAAATAATCATCCTGTGCCAGAATAATGCACTTGAACGCATCAAAGCTTTGTGATTGGCCGGCGTGACCCCATGTGTCGGGGTGTAGCTGGTGGGCAGTGGGCACTAGTTCGCTGGCGTTGTCCGTGTCAACAGGAGTGACAGTCCGCACACACACAAGACCGTAATTACGGCAGAAGCAAGAAAGCCCAAAATATATAATTCTCACTCCGAGTGGGAGGATGATTATTTTTGTATCTATTCCAATTCAAAGTCCATCTGTCTCATCTGCAATGCGAGCGTGGCTTTATCGAAGAAGGGTCATTTAGGAGCGGCATTTCAAAACAGTGCACAAACGCTGCGGGACGGAATTCCCTCCTAATTCTGCCCTACGCTCCCAAAAGGGGAGGGGCCTGAAAGGACAGCTAAATGCACAGCAGTCCATTTTCACCAGGCCCAACAACAAGAGCAACGCTGCTACCAGAGCATCTTATCGCATCAGTCACGTTCTTGCTAAACACATGAAGTCTTTCAAAGACGGCGAAGTTGTGAAAGAAGCATTCCTGGAGGCTGCCGACGCGCTTTTGGGGGACAGTAAAAATAACAGTAGCATTTCAACAGGTTTTTGATATAATAAAAACTCAAGTTAGATACCGTTATTAATCAGCTGTAAGTTTTAGTTTGTTTGAACTTAGTCATGATAATTATTGTACAAAATGGTATAAGAATGCAAACATTAAGATCTGTTCTGTTCACATTGATTATAGTCTATTATCAATTCAGGTTAAGAAACTAGTGTTGCTTGCATCCTATTTTAAAGGCATTTATTTTGATACTCTACTAAAATGCTACAAAAAAGGGTTTGATTCTATTAATTTTGTCTTTTTATTGCACTTTTTCAGCAGATTCCTGTGTAGCTTCAGATCTGAGTTGTCTTATTAGTAAGCCTAATTTTTACTTTTGTAGCAACACTATGTTTATATAATGGCAAAGAAAGGGTTCAGAGTCTTTTCTTTTTTCCTGTGTCAGCACTGTTCAATGTTTCTTGAAAACATTACCCACTGTAGTATGTGACGTGTGAATAAACTCCAACTCTGTATCAACAACACTGTTGTGTGACTTCAGTTAATACTTGTATGTGTGTAGATTAGAAAGAGGTAAGATAAAGGATCTGCAGTATTTTATGAAGTATTAATCGTACAAAGGTCAGTTTTATACAAGTAGAAGTGTGTATTTACCTGGTAGTAGGCTGGCTACGCCTCTCTATTTGGACTGGTAGATCTCGGCAGACTGGCAACTTTAAAAGTAGCTCTCGGTTCAAAAAAGGTTGGGCACCCCTGATATAGGGGAACTACACTGTTAGCAGTAACTTGGTATGTATGTATTTCATGTTAGCTTAGCTTCTTAGCTTGAGCTAGCTCTGTTTACTTCCAGTTCGGAGGCAGCAGGTCCCGCCTCGGCTCCGCCTCTTTGCCCTTATTTGGAGCAGGCGGGATTAGACTCTGACATTGCTGTCAAGCCGTTAGTGGCCGACTCCGCCTACTAAGGGCTTCTCGGCAACTCTGCAGAATCCTATGGGTGACGTCACGGACACTACGTCCATTTATATATACAGTCTATGAGTCATACACTATACATGATGTCTGTATGTTATATCTCAACAGGCTGCGTTTCACTTCTCTTATTTTTCATTTCCTCGCTCCTCGGTCTCGGTATCACCGGAAGTTGATTTGTCTGCGCCATCTTGAGTAGCGTCCCGAGGAACCACCAGACCATCCTCCGGTGAAATCCTCAGACACTCGCCCTGCCCCCTTACTGTGTATCGCTCACTGATTGGACGATGCAGCGCATGCACTGATCTGATGCTTCTTGACATGAGAGCAGTTTCCCAGCGGAGTGAAGAAAACACATGAAACTCACGGGACTCACTCCTCAGTTTATACTGTGTTTTGTTTCAATTCATGTATCATTTAGTTACAAATATGTGATATATCTGAACAACTAAGTGGTCAAAAATCATTTTATTCATTTATTGGAAACATTTTCATGATCGCTTTTTTCGTTTTACATTTTCATTTATTGTCATTTCCATTCAGTCAGTCATTAAGTGCTATTTAAAATGTTAATTTGCTACATATCCAAACAAACAAAGTGTGCAATCCAATGAATTATTTTATTTCTATTGTGCACTCTAATCAATATTAATCAAACTATTGTTCGTTTATACATTTTAAGAATGGCCTTTATCTTTTTTGAGAATGAGTTCTTATTTGATTTTATTTATTTGGGTCTACAACAGATGATACAAATGTGTGTGTCAGTAAATGTGAACTAACAGAGGCGGGAGTGTTTGTGAAAATAACGGGGACAGCTAGTAGGCTTGTTTGAGACGCGTTGCGGCTCGCCTCGAAAGTAGACGAGAATAGCCGATCGCAGCCGGGGGAGGTCACAAAAAGCTCGCCTGAAGTCGGACAGCTCGGAGTCGGCTTCCTCTTCTTCTTCTTCTTCTTCTTCTCCCGGTTTTTTGGCGGATTGCAAACAACTTTAAGGTGCATACCGCCACCTCCGGAGTCGGCTTGACTCGGTTTGCATTTATAAAGAATGCACACATGTGTTTAATCGTTAATGTCAAATATGTACTAAGTAAATACATTTGTTCCTGCTCAAGATTAGATTCAACTTTATTGTTATTGCACATATGACAGGTACTGAGACAACGAAATGCAGTTTAGCTTCTAACCAGGTGCAACAAGCAGTAAAGTGAAAAGTAATGTACACAATAGACAGAATAAAATATAGAATGAATTGAATGATGAATAAACAGTGAGGGGTATGAATACACTAGATATCAGCCTGTGAGCAGTATGAACAGTGTGTATGAATATGCTAAGATATATAATGTATGAAAACGGTAAGCAGTGCAAGTATAGTATAAAATATATAGATATTAATGTCATGATGATAAACATTGTGGAACAATGATGAAAAATGGGAATGGATTTGTCGATGTAAAACTGACACAAAACAACAACAAACTTTTGCCGAGCCAATTGGAGAGTTTCATCAGCAGCACGGGGTAAAACCCACCAATGAGCGCTCAGCTCGAGATACCAGCGAGTCGTTTCCCATCAAGCATTTAGCTTCCGCAGCCCGTGGAGAGGAACTGCGCCGCCTCGCTGCGCCTCGCTCTCAAGGCTGCGGGCGTCTTTGTCCCGCGAGACAACGTCTCATGTAGGCGAGCCTCCAGAGCAAGTCGGACAAAATGATTAACCATCATGCAACGCACTAGCAAGACGTTGATCGCAACTGCGCAGGTCTCGCTTGTCTCAAACAAGCCTGCTGTCAGACGATCAGCTATGCGGCGTCATCACAAACGGACGTCGCTTCACGTGAC